ATTTGAGTTGAATTACTGAAATAAATTAACTTTTCCACGACATTCTAATTTATTGAGATGCACCTGTATATGCAGTTTGTTGTTTTTTGGGGGGCGTCTGGCAGAGTGTTAGGACCCAGAAGCGGTGAAGCGTGATGTCAGACGTAACAAGCAGATATTCTAAACCACTCCTATCCAACCGTGAATCTGCTATGAGCAAGAGGTGGAGAGGAGGTGCACCACAATAAAACCCCGCCCTTCATTCAATATTCCGATTATCCACATAGATCTTTGATATGAATTAATACTTTTTGGTAATTCATTAAATATTGCAGACTAAAGAGTAACTAGTACTCGGAGTAGTTTTTGAGAGGAGTACTTTGTACTTTTACTTGAGTACTGTTTTTTTGTAGTACTTTTACTTGTAATTGAGTATTATTTCATCAATGTAACAGTACTTGTACTTAAGTAAAAATTTTCAGTACTCTTTCCACCACTGCATTTAACACAGACACAACAACTGATTCTACAGACGAATGCAACAGTTACATTTAAAGTTGGGATGAAATTGTTTTACAGTGTACATTCTTAAAAAGAAATGTTCTTTATATGCTTCCATGGACACTTTCCATTGTACAAAAGTTCTTTATAGTGGAAAAGGATTCTTTAGATAATTAACATATTAATAACACTAAGAAACAATTTTTTATTTAAGAACTGTTTACTGAAAGGTTCTTTGGGGAACCAAAAATGATGGTTCTATGGTTTTGCTGTGAAACCCTCCTTATGTAATCTTTATTTTTAAGAGTGTAGTTACACTCCTTACCAGTTGTATAAGGCTGGCTGTTGTTCTGTCCGCAGTTCTTCATTTTGACAGGCGACAGACAGAGAGGTTTGACCACTTTGTGTGTGCCTTCACACCAGTATGAGGTACAGAAGGCCAAAACGGAGAGCGCTAGGGCCAGAGAGGTCAGCGAGAGAGACAGCAATGACCGATTCCTGCGGGACAAATGCTCCAACATGGTGGAATGATACAGACAGGACCTGATACTGCAATTAACAAAGAAAAGACAACATTCAGGTACAAAGAAAGAAGCTTTGTATGCATATCCACTTACAGATGAAAGTAAAGTTAGAATTTGATTAAAGATGTGGCAAGGGAAAGGAAACAGCGATCAATATGTGGGCAGTTGTGTAGGGAAGTAAGATTACTAAGCCTAATGATTGAAGCAACCATTCAATGTCAAAAGTCAGATAGGAGGAGTTTAAATGTGCGGAAACAAATAGAAATTGAAGATGCAAAGGCAGAATTAAAGGTCAGTGGAAGTGAGATGATGAGCAGAGGATTTAAAGGAAATTAGACAGATGTGAGCATGTGAAAATACACTTGCCGATACCTTAGGTTTCCATATAAAAATGTAGTTGGTGAAATGCAGAAATGGCTCAGAATGTGTTAAACATGTTTCCTTGGTCTACGACCAACAAATGTGGCCAATACGTCCTCAAAGTCAATGGAGATGAGGCTGACGATCACAAATGTTCATGCTGAATATTCAGAGGTGTCTCTCAGATGTATGTTCTTTAGTTCAGCACAGAGATGAAATTGGTCTTAAGTCATGCAGTCCATCAAGAACAACCTTGTTCTTCTTTTTGATTTTGCCCATCTCTCACCTGGTCTCTTTCTTGGAGAGATTAAAATTTTCTGAGTTTTGTACTTATTCCATGTCTTAATCACCAACATCCATTTCTTTGTAATCCTTCATGATCTCTGTTAATCTTTGGGAGAAAGGTACATCTGTCTCTCCTGGTCCGTCCAGAGCCCCCAGACACCTGAGCAACAAACCATATTATCAAGACAGATTAAGTATTATGAAGTAGATTTAAATGTAGATCTTTGTGTCTGATCTATAAATGCAATAATAATTTAAATATTATAATTTAAATACCAATTTATTATTCACATTATTACAACATTATATATGTCAACATTGTATATATATTTTTTCAATTAAATATTTACTTGGACACATGGTGAATTCAAAATATATATATATATTTGGAACAGAATTTTTAAAAGAAACAGACACACAGATCTATGTTTAAATAAGTATGATCACATAAGAAAAAAATAGCATTACGTCACCGTATTTGCAGAGATATATGTGGTGCATATATGGCACTTCTATTAAATTGTTTTTTTAATTGTTAAAAAGTAAGGCAAAATGGACACACATAAAAACGGTCAAATTGGTATTACATTTTCTAAAAAAGTATTTTATGCATTATCAAAAAATATTACATAGACAGAAAAAAGAAATGCAACCCACCTTCAGCCGTAAAGACACTTCACCTCTGTTTCACTTTTATAACCTCACTCTCTCTCACTGTGTATTTTCTTTTATTCATTCTCAACCTCGAGTGAATGTTTATGACAACCCCACCCAGATTTCACTTAATCCGCCCAAGTCCATCTGTTCCTTCGATTCTGCCTCTTTCGATGCTTCCATTTAAATCTCTCTTTCCCTTCGCCTACATTCATCTCCTCCATGTGAGGCTGTTGAATAAAATGGTTCTCTTTAGATGTACACAGTGTCAAGTCCTCCTAAGCACATGTATTTTGTCCTTTCTATAACCTTAGGAGCTTTACAGAGTACATAGTATTGTCCTGGTCTGCATCCTAAACTAAGCAATTTAAATACAACCTAGAAATGCTTTCTTTTTCATGAGTTAAGGGATATAGTAGCCTAATGATTAAAATAATGCGCTGTTGACCCAGTTGTTGCAGGTTAGTGCTAATAAATGACATCACACTAATGCAGTGTGCCTGCAGGAATTTGCTCTGAATAATTGAGCAATTGCTAAAAAAAAACAACAAACTACCAAACATCCTATTATATTGTGCTTTTTTTCTGAAACTTTAGCCGTGAGCCTTTGCATCTTTATGAACAGTGGTGAGTCTCAGAGCATGTGAGCGAAGCTACGTTTTCCGCTCTATGGACGTGCGCTCCACTCAGTCGCTCTAACCGCCCAAGCAAGCGCTCCGTTAATATTCCGCTCACGCTCGCCGTAAACCAATTCCCGCTCAGATCCCGCTCCGTTCTGTAAAGAACAAATTTGCGTGCATTATATTAGATTATAAATTACTGCTGCCTATATCTAGCCTACATTCTGTAGGACTACCTATTGGTCCGGGTCAGTTTTTTTTTAAATAATATTTTAATAGGCCTAAGTGGTGTAGGCTAATATCTTCTGTACTCTGTAGTTCTGTATGTAGGCCTATATACAGCTGTGTGTTAGCTTAGGTCTACAGTTTAACTGAGATTATTTAATAACTACAGAGCTCCGAATATAATTTGAATTAACAATTCGTTTCTACTGAAACAATATCTGAACTCCATAACTGCTCTACTATTCTCGATCTCTACAGATTCTCGATCTCGAACAAGCAAATCACCAAACGGCATTCTGGGTTGAGCGAGTGGCGCTGAGCGTATTGAGCGAGCGGAGCGGAATCTTCAGAAAGGCGCTCTGCGCTCTTAAGGAAATATTACCGCTCCGCTCACGCTCCGCTCCGCTCACATGCTCTGATGAGTCTGGACATATATTCCAGCACTTTCCGTTAATGTAATGATTCCCCTGGTGTTTAAAACACGGTAGTGCAATGGCATAACTCGGGCTCTTCCTCAAGGTTTTCAGAAATATTTGTTATGGAACCTGCCATAACATATATAATTAAGTCACTAGATTGAAGGATATACTTTTCAATGATCTTGTCACTTTATTCTTGAATTGTGCACTTTCACAGGTAACACCACAGGTTTACCATAGCTAGTTAAATAAATAAATAAATCCGTAATAAAAAATAAAACTGTAACCTATAATTGTAGTCAATATGGAAAAGTATGCTTTCTTCATAAATTTTTGAATTTCATCTAATTATGATGCTTTTGCTTATCTTCCAATACCTTCTTCATTGACAGAATAACAGTATAATTCTGACAGAATGAATATCAGGACCAAAACAACAGTCTGAAATAAATAAATAAATACTACACTAATACAAATAAATGTATGATGAATATGCATCTTAATAAACCATTTTATACAGAAAGAACAAGAATTTTCTTTATATCAGTATTCAAGTTTTACCCTTCTCTTCATCAATCCTCTCATATTGTTAATTTACTGCGATAAACAATTCCCAACAAACATTGTGCATGATCGTCACTTGCTGATTTTAGCAGATTTGTTTTGATATTGACCAGAGAACAGATCCATTCCAAGCCAAACAACATACTCAAACAAACAAACAACAATAAAATCAATCAATCAATCAACAAATGTTTTAAAAAGTGATATGGTCAAGTATTAGGACCCTCAAATATTTGATCCATCGCATTCATATGACAACTAACTAATGCATTAAAAATGTTTATGACTGGAATGTCTCTCATCATAAGTCACTACAAGCCACATTTAGATTTTCCAATATGCGTAATTCTGTGTGTTATAGAGAATGATGCTTACGAAAACTGTCTAGGTCTCTTACTTGGTGCCTTCCTTGGTTATTTTGGGGTAGGTTTGGGAATAAACTCTGATTTTTTTAATACACAACTATTGAAAGATCTGTTTGGGTTCAGTAAGATTTTTTAATGACATTTTTGAAAGAAGTCTCTTATGCTCACCAAGGCTGCATTTATTGATAAATATTTCTTATAAGAAATGAAGGAAATAAGAAATATTAACATTTCTTCTTATAATCAATGTTGAAAACAGTTGTGTTCCATAACACATTTTTTCCCAGGATTCTTTGAATAGGAAGTTCAAAAGAACAGCATTATTTTAAATGGAATAGAATACTTAATATTACTACTTACTTATAATATTATTAATACTTAATACATTAATATTTATTTAAAACAGAATCTTTTGTATTGATGTAAAAGTGTTTACTGTCACTTGATCAATTAAATGCATAAAAAAATTACTGACCCCAATCTTTTGAATGGCACTGTATAGCCAAAATCTGCTCACTGGCAGACTATTCCAGTAGATATGACAGATTCCTAAAACTTTATGATTCTAAAACATCAATGAGTGAACATACAAAATTCCTGCTTTAATCTCTCAGTCCATTATGTTGGAAAGACCGGAGTATGCATGCCTTTTTTCCCCAAAACAGAAAGTATATTGTTTTATATACTTACAGTATACTGTTGCTCATTAATATTTAAATATTTGCACACACTTATACACACATAATCAACTAGGATCGATGAAGGAGGTGGGGAAAGGAGAAGGCTAGAGATGAATGGATGCTGGATGGAGAACTCAAACAATTTTATTTCCTTTCCCAGCAGCCCCAGTTCCAGTGCCCCAAACCAATGGAGGTTGCTGAAGAACTGGAGCTTGTGGGGTAACTGTTCCTGTGAGGGACACAGGAGATAACTCACCAATAAGAGTACCTGCAGTGCTGGGTTGTACCATTCTAGGGCTAGCCATGGAAAAGCCCATGTTGGACATAGTCAAAACTGAATGGCTTGTATTCTGAGTTGGAGATGCCATATGGGCGACAGGCACCCCGAAGGCTGTGTTTAGGGACAGGCCATTGGAACAGGGTGTCATGGAGTTAAAACCAAAATAATTTGGGTTTGAAGGCTGTGCAGTAGAACCGCCTGCATTGGATATGCTGCCGCCCAATGGCCTGGTCATGCCTGCGGCTGACAAAAAACCTGGGAAAGTTGAAAGTCCAAACAAAAAGGGATGGTGGGTGATGGGGAGGGAGGGAGAAAGGACGTGGATAGCATATAGAAGCAGGGATAAAGAAGGTTGAGATGGGATCTACATCAACTACGTACAGGTTATGTTCCACATGACTATATGAACTCTAGGCTTGAAAAATACTGCGTCACAAACACTCAAAAATAAACAGCTACTATACAATGTCTCTCTCTCTCTCTCTCTCTCTTTCTCAGTTGCTCTTATTGTCAATGTCTCTCTCTTTCTCTCTCAGCCCTCCTTACCCGGGGCTTTTTGTGTGGGGATGGCGTTGAGAGGGGGCTGTTTAGGTTTGGGCTTGACTGACATAAGAGAGTCCAAGTCCACCAATGAAGCACCTTCTCCGAGGAAGGACGCTGGCTTTTTAGTCTCATCAGCAGTGTTTGTAGCAGTGTCACCTATTGATAGAAAAAAAAATGTAAGGCAAAAATCTAAATGACCTTGTGCTATTGAAACAAGAGAAAGCCGTTTAAATGAGCCTTGCTTTTGGAAAAACAGTTTTTAATTTTATTTTTTATATTATACATTACCTTGTTAGGTTTGGAGTCAGTAAGATTTTTTCTAATAATTGAATACTTTTATTCGGCAAGGATGCAATAAATGTATTAAAAGTGACAGTAAAGACATTTATAATGTTACAAAAGATTTTTATTTTAAAATAACCGCTGTAAAGAACAAAATGTTAAGAACAAAATGAGATGAAAGTTAATCACAACAACAGTTTGTTCTTTTTTTTTAGTGCTAGATATTCAGTGATGTAAAATCTGAAATTGGATAGAACTCAAAAGAGGAATTTTAAACATAGAAAGGCATCTTGTTTAAAAGTGTATCAAACAACTTCTTCAACAGATTCAACTACTTGAACATTGCAGACTTTGTAAAATCTCAGCAAGTAGATTAGATGGCAGCTTGAGATTTTGAGATTTTAGTTCAAAATTGACCATGAAAAATAAGATTTGAGACTGCAGAAACAAACAGAAAAAGAAACCTGTTCCAAAAGTACCATTCTCAGAGGAACCACCCCAAGGATCTGGTCTGCCTCCATTACCGAAAAGGTAATCAGTTGGAGCTGATGGGGCACCCCAGGGGTCAGTCGCAGCAGGGGGTGAAGATGCTGGGAGTAAGTAATACAATGATTAGATTTTTTTGAAAAAAAACATTTTTTGACATACAACAACGGCTTCTCAAAATACTGTTTCATTCATGTTGTAATCTACATTTACACTACCATTCAAAAGTTTGTGGTCTGTAAGATTTTATAATGTTTTTAAAAGAAGTCTCTTATGCTCACCAAGGCTGCATTATTATTATTATTATTAATTATTTTAATCAAAAATAGTGTAAAAATTTTTAATATTGTGAAATATTAATACAATTCAAAATATCTGTAATTGATTTTAATGTATTTTGAAAAGTAATTTATTCCTGTGATGGCAAAGCTGAATTTTCAGCATCATTACTCCAGTCTTCAGTGTCACATGATATGTCTAATATGCTGATTTGGTTCTCAAGAATTACATTATCAAATGTTAAAAACAGTTGTGCTGCTTAATATTTTTGTGGAAACCATGATAGTTTTATTTTCAGGATTCTTTGATAAATAGAAAGATCAACAGAACAACATTAATTTGAAATAAATATTTTGTAACAATTTTGCCCAATTTAATGTGTTCTTCTTGAATAAAAGTATACATTTATTTAAAAAAAAAATCTTACTGACCCCAAACTTTAGCGCGATGGTTTAAATTCACTAAATTTTGAAGTAATTCTCAGTCAGACAATAAAAAAACTAATTATTAGAGGACACTGAGGTGTGTT